GAGCCACCACGCCCAGCCCTTCCAGTCTCTTTTAATCTGTAATAGTTTTTGTGCCTTTGTGTCTCATTCCACTGGCATTTTAAAAGAAGGCAGAAATCACAATTTTTATGTAAAATCTCCTAAATTGAATGTTGATAACAAACTTAAAGTTCTAAAAAGTCTTGAGTGATCCATACGAATACGTGTGCTAGGCAGATTTGATTCATGGTTGCTCTGTGACGGGTGATCAGAAGCAGACTGTAACAGTGGCAGGTGGCTGAGGTTGGAATCAACCCAGAGGCCCCTCTGGAGGTCACTCATTGTCTGGGAGTGGGTGTGACTCTTGGACCCTAATCTTGGTGGGCTGGAGAATGTTTCCACAGGACCAGAATTGGTCCCTGGTGGGACACCTAGAACCACAGCAAGACTGCTGACCTGGGCAGGGGTCCTGGAGGAGACCACCTGCCCCAAGGACACACAGCCTGGTGCTCCTGTTGTGCCTATTGGGGGTGAACTGGGCATCTCAGTGTGAGGTCAGCACCCTGCGCAGGGCCAGCAGTGCTCAGGGCAGTGGCACTGGCTGCTTGATATGCACCCAGGTGTCACTGCCTCTTCCTCCTAGGAAGTCAGAGGGTACAGGTGCAAGGTGTAGGGCACAGGTGGGCAGTGGGACCCCTCACAAACAGGGGGAATGTAAACCCCAGGCAGATGTGCCTTCCCCAGAACTGTGTCCTGGTGGAGACGAACCCTGGATTTGATGGGGAGATCTTGCCCTAATCTCAGCCCCCAACTTTGTTTTCTTTTTTTTTTTTCCCCGATAGAGTCTCGCTCTGTCACCAGGCTGGAGTGCAGTGGCACAATCTTCACCGCTCACTGCATTCTCCACCTCCTGGGTTCAAGCAATTCTCCTGCCTCAGACTCCCAAGTATTACAGGTGCTGCAACCACACCTGGCTAACTTTTTTGTATTTTTAGTAGAGACAGGGTTTCACCATGTTGGCCAGACTGGTTTTGAACTCCTGACCCCAAGCAATCTGCCTGCCTCAGCCTCCCAAAGTGCTAGGATTATAGGCATGAGCCACCGTGCTGGCCACAGCCCCTAACTATGTGGCCTTGGGAAGCGAAGTGACTTCCTTTCTTGGGACTCAGATTCTTTAAAGGCAAAATGGGCAGGGTTGGACTAGAGGTGAGGTTTTTGGAGCCGTGTGGTTTCTCGCCGTGTCTCAGGGCTGACCACAGGGGATAGCTGTTACTGGGGTGTTGGGACTCCAAGAACCCCCAGACCTGCTTTAACCTTAGTAGCTCCACACAAGTTTGTTTATGTATTGACGGGCTTCCACACAAAATTTCACTAGAGAAAACGATTCAGTGCTTAAGGAAAAATCCCTGGCTGAGATTCCAAGACACTGCGGGTCTGCAGCTAATTTATGCCAGACTGATGGTACAGCACAGCACAGGTCGCCTCACATCCCCCAGAACAAGCGTGTCCAACCTGTGGGCTGTGGGTGCACGCAACCCAGGACAGCTTTGAATGTGGCCCAACACAAATTCATAAACTTTGTAAAACATTATGACTTTTTTGTGATTTTTTTTAAGCTCATCAGCTATCATTAGAGTTACAGTATTTCAAGAATTGCTCAAGACAATTCTTCACAGACGAGTGAAGCACATGATGGGGCCTGTGGTGAAATTGCTCATGCCCTACGTGACGGGGACAGGACCATGGGAGCGGGCTAGGCCCTGCGGGAAGAGGAGAGCGGGCCGACCACTGAAGAACAAATAAGGAGAAGAGGGAGTCCATGATGGACGGAGACTGAAGTGGAGTGGCTGGAAAGGCAGGAGGAAAGCTGGAGAGCGGGAGTCTCAGAAACCGGGAGGACAGTTTCCAGAAAGATGGACTTGCCACCTGTGCCCAGTGCTGCACAATTAGCCGGCTGCTCGAGTTCCGCCTCCATAACAGACACTGCAGCCTGTTGTCTTTTATGTTGAGAGCAGCTTTCGTGTTACAGCAGAGAAAGAGGCCTCCCAGTGAGCAGGTGGCCAGCAGAGAAGCCAGTGATCAGGAAGAGCGGCCGGATGGGTGGGTCGGTGGTTACAGCTGCTGGTAAAGTTACCCTAGACAGGCTGGGTGCAGTGGCTGCTCACGCCTAGTAGTCCCAGCACTTTGGGAGGCCGAGGCTGGCCGATCAGCCAGGAGTTCAAGATCAGCCTGGGCAACATGATCAAACCCTACAAAACTTAGCCGGGTATGGAGGTGCACGTCTGTGGTCCCAGCTACTTGGGAAGCAGAGGTGGGAGGATCGCTTGAGTCCAGGAGGCCGAGGTTGTGGAGAGCATGATCATAGCACTGCACTCCAGCCTGGGAGACAGAGCGAGAGACCCAGTCTCAAGAAAAAAAAATTACCTTCGCAAATCCCCCATGTGCAGGCAGGTCTTAAAAATCCTCTTGAAGGAGATAACCAAGAGGAGGCCATCATGCTGACTTTTGGGATAGATGGAGGCTGTGAACACCATGGACATTTTGCTTATGAGGGGTGAGGGCACGCAGTGGTGAGGCGCTAGTGCTAACAGCTATGGTGACGGTGGGGGGAATGGTGGTACGCGTGCAGAGGGGATGATGTCAGAAACTGTGGTGGTGACGGGGGCACCCAGAGGTCAGTGTGAGGCTGGCGGCAGGGGAGGTGGTGTGGATGACTGTCAGGGAGGGGAGATTGTGTGAATTGCTGGTGAAGTTGCCTGTGCAGGGGCAGGGTTGGCACTGAGGTTGGGCTGCTGTTGCTGGTTGCTGAAATGTTATCCCTAGTGTGCTTGCATTAGGAGGCGGGGCCTTTGGGAGGTAATTAGGGCCCTTATAAAAGTGCTTGGGGTTGGCCAGGTGCGGTGGCTTTGGGAGGCCAAGGCAGGCTCATCGCTTGAGCTCAGGAGTTTGAGACTAGTTTGGGTAACATGGCAAGACCCCGTCTTTGTCAAAAATTAGCTGGGTGTGGTAGCGCATGCCTGTAGTCCCAGCTACTGGGGAGGTTGAGGTGGGAGGCTGTGTTGAGCCGTGATCATGCCTCTGCACTCCAGCCTGGGCGACAGAGCAAGATCCTGTCTCAACAAAAAAAAAAAAAAAAATGTGTGAGGGAGCTGGCTGCCCCTTCTATCCATTTTGTCCCTTCCCCCCGAGAGGAAGAGGGCCCTCACCAGACACTGAATGTCAGTGCCTGGATCTTGGACTTCTCAGGCTTCAGAACCATAAGAAATCAATGTTCACAGTTTTTATAGTACCAGACTGTGGCATTTGGTTGTAGCAGCAAAAACTGGCAAAGGCAGATGATGACTTTCCAGGGAGTCACCGTCTCCTGGGGTGCTTGTGTGACCAGCCATCCACCTCGGGAAATCCCTGCCTGGCTTCAGAGGGCCCTCCACCCTCCCCACCCTCAGGGGACTCATGGCCCGGGCAGCCCACAGGTTCTCGCGGGACCGAGCAGGACAGGGCCTGGAATCACCGGTGCATACACACAGCCTCAGGAAGGCACCGGAGCAGGGGCATCTGTGTTGCACCCCATGTCGGGGGTAGGGGACTGAAGAGCCTTAGTTCCAGGGTCCCCCATGGGCCTGGAAGCTTTTGAGGGAGCACTTTTCACGTGTGAAAGAGAACATCCAGTTACCTAGGCCTCCACCCTCCTCCACGCAGGGTGGCGGAACAGCTGCCTCCTCACAGGCTCCCACAGGGAAACCGAGGGTGACCCATGGGAGGTGCTGAACGCAAGGCTTGGACACACCTGGTGCCCAGGGCGCAGATGCCAGCTTTTACGATCGTTCTTCTTAGGCAGCTGTGTCACAGCAGAAATCACAGACTCAGCCTGATCCAATTGGTTGGCGTTCTATTTGTCCTGCCTATGTATTTCCTAAAATTTTTTATTTAGTTGCCAACATATAAAGACTTCAGAGAGTTCACATAACAATCTAGCTTTCCAAGTTCTGTGGAAGAATGGGACGCCTGGCACCTGGGCCCCATCTCCACGAGGTGACAATGGGCTGAGGCCCTCTGGATGGAACGTAGGTTCCCTGGTTTGCCACAGACCTTGTCACTCCTTCCTGGCCCTGCCTCCGAGTTTGGGGCTCCTGCTCCCACCTGAGCTCTGTGAGTCGGTGCCTGCCAGCTGCACTCTGTGCCTGCTTGGTCTGCCTGGTGGAATCTTCCGACCCACAAGCCCACCTAAGCTGGTCTGCTGGTTACACATGGAGTCCCTCCAGGGGCGGGGTCCCAGTGTAATTATATTTGGATTTGGCTTGGCCAATAACAGGCCCGTAAATATTATGTCATGTGGTTGAGAAAAGTTTATTATTCTAACACCTGGCACCAGGATTCCTCAGAGGAGGGGGGAGTTGCCTTGTTTGAAGGATTTGGTGACCACGGCTTGGGGTAGGAGGGGGACCCCAGGGTTTGGAGGTACAGATGTTAGCCCTGTAGGAGTTTGTTTTCCATGAGAAAGAGAGGGATTTGTTTTGTTTCTGAAGGAGAAGGGCAGAGAGGAGAAAAAGGAGAGAGAAGACGGAGGAGAGGACGGGCCAGGTGAGCCCCGGCAGCCTCAGGGCCAAGGTGGAGTGGTCAGAGGCCACGATGGAAAAGGGCCCGCCAAGCCATTTCTGTCGTGGGGATGGAAACCCGTACTTTCCTGCCTCCAGAACCTTTGGGACACCCTGCTTTGCTCACTGCCGTGCTGGGTGAGGGAGCTTGCTGGGGAATGTGGTGAGGGCTGGGCTCCAGTGTGAGGCTAGCCTGGGCTGTCCAGGGTGGCCCATGCCGGAAGCAGATGGCAGAGGCCATGAGACCCAGAGTCCCAGGGCCTGGCTTGGGAGGTTCAGAGACTGTGCAATGAAAAGTGGCTGGGTGGGGGAGGTGGGCAGTCCATTTTATTAGGAACTCAAGAGACAAGGAAGCCCCAACTGACGTCTGGTTATAACAAAATGAAGCCAGGTTTTCAGAAGGAGCCAGACTCAATTACGGAGAGGGGAAAAAAGGAAAAAAATCTCTGAACTTATATAAAATGGCCGAGCTGCCAGTTTATTTTGGGCTTCTGGCAGTTTGGGGTGACCAGGTTTGTTGGAGTCTGGGGATCTGCCTCAGGGATTGGTCCCCTGGCCTGGGGCCAGGGGCTCTGGGGGCCCGGCTCAGTCCAGGGCCTCTGTGGTGGCACACAGCAGGCCAGCCAGGAGAGCCAGGCCCAGCACAGCCACAGCAATCAGCGCCACGTCCCACAAGACCCCCAGGTGCACCCAGGATGCCTGCAGCTGCCAGCCACAGCTGCCTAGCTGGTAGCCTGTCAGCCGGCCCAGCGGGCTGTGGGCAGCAAAGCTGGGGCTGGCACAGCGGACCTGCAGCAGGGCCTCGGGTGTGCGGTCCTCCAGCCAGAGGCGCAGGTAGGTGAGGCTGCAGTCACAGTGCCACGGGTTCTGCGTCACGTCGAGGGTCTGCAGCTGGGGCAGGTGGTCGAAGGCTCCCGCGGGCACAGACTGAAGGCTATTGTTGGCCAGCAGGAGGTGGCGGGTGTGGGCCGGCAGGGCAGGCAGGGCTGTGAGCCCACGGTCCCTGCAGTCCACCCACAGCCCCATGGTTTCCAGGGCGCGGCAGGAGCACAGGATGGGGCAGTCTTTGGTGGCCTCTGCCGTGGCCCAGAGCAGGAACAGGGCTCCCCAGGCGGGCATGGGGCAGGCTGGCTGCAGAGAGAGGGGCTGTGAGGGAGGTCCTGGCGGCCTGCACCCATCCTTAGGGACAGTAAGCACCGGGGTGCAGTGGAGCCTGGCATGGGACGAGGCGCACTCACCTCCTTTCTCGGTCCTCGGCCTTTTCCTCTGGGAAACCAGCCAGTGACTGGGGAAGGTGGAGCGTGCCCAGTCCAGGCCTGGCAGACCCTCTCTGGACACCGTCAAAGGCAGGGCAGTGAGGGAGGCTGTGGATTGGGGGTAAGTTTGTTTTTTGGGAAGGGAAGGGACTTCCTGTCCCTTAGCAGAGACCCCAGCCCCTGCTTGGGGATGAGAGGAGCAGATGACAGCTAAATGAGTCCCTCCCCAGGACCACAGTCCCCAGAGACCAGGAAAGAGCCTTGGAGGGGCCTCCAGGCTTCGTCCAGCGTCCCCCGCTGGCTAAGTGAGCTGTTACCTGATTCCCAGATGCAGAGGACAGTGGGATGGGTACACTGGCTGGAGCAGGGAAGGGATCCCAGTGGGGCCCCCTTTGGAAAGCCACGCATCTGGGCTAACACCAAGAGTTGGAGAAACAGGCCCAGAGAGGGAAAGCTGTATGCCCAGGGCCACCTGGTGTGGTGTCAGAGGCCAGACTCACACTCGGGTCTTGTGAATGGAACCCTGGCCCTCTGTTTGGTTCTTCCTTCTAGGCGTTTCCCCTCCACAGGCAGCGCTCCCCACACCCACAGCAGGCTTCCAGTGCATAGGCGTTGAATCAACTCATTCATCTTGACTCAGCCAAGGAGATGGTGTCTTAGAGAGAATGTCCCCACCCAACCCTGTCTTATAGAGGTGACAGGAGCTGATCTCCTCTCTCCCTGCGGGAGGCAGTGCTGGGTAATACCGAGGGCCACTTACCTGCGAGGCCTTGAGTGGGCGCTCCTGTCTGGCCTGAAAAGTCCTGGCTGAGGCCTGCGTGGCAACTCGATGGGATGCAGCTGAGGTGGCTGCTGCGGAAGCAGGCGGAAGGAAGTAATGAAAATAGCCTGGCTTATCACCCTCGTGCAGCCTGGGGCCTATTTCCAGAGGCAGGAGGCCCTCAGGGGCCTGCGCCTTGGGCACACAGCTACATCTCAACCTGTTTAGGGAAGGGGGTCCCACCGTAGCGCCAGTGCTGTGGTGGGCTTTGGGATCCGGTCTGTGGAGGACTGAGGTGGCCTCTTGCCTGCTCCCAGGAGGTGGGGAAGGAGGAGACCCCCGAGAAACGTAGCTCTGCTGGCTGTTCCTCTGAATCTCAGTTTTCCTCATCTGTAAAGTGGGAGCAATGCCCCCATCCTGCCTGCCTCACAGAGGCAGCTCCCACCGGTGGAGAACGCCATGGTGGGGTGAGTGACTTTGTTTTTAACTTTCCTCTCTCGTTCTGCATATTCAAGGACAGACTCTCCTCTTGGTGCCATGGTGTTTTCAGCTCCTGCCTAGCGCTTCCCTATCCCTCTTTCTAACAAACAACTGCAGGCCTGGGAAGCAAAGCCTCTACCAGGTGTGAGTCTCTAGCTAGAATTCTGGCCTATGGTTTTAACATTTGCAGTACATTTCCTTCCAGAGCCACATTCTACTTAGAGGAGGGACACCATTTTCCATTTATGTTAGTGACATAAAGCTCCCTTTAAAAGATAAATGTATTTTGGGGTGGGCGTGGTGGCTCGCGCCTGTAATCCCAGCACTTTGGGAGGCCGAGGAGGGCGGATCACCTGAGATCAGGAGTTCGAGACCAGCCTGGCCAACATGGTGAAACCCCGTCTCTACTAAAATACAAATATTAGCCAGGCATGATGGCACACGCCTAAAATCCCAGCTACTCAGGAGGCTGAGGCAGGAGAATCACTTGAACCTAGGAGGTGGAGGTTGCAGTGAGCTGAGATCATGCCATTGCACTACAGCCTGGGCGACAAGAGCGAAACTCCGTCAAAAAAAAAAAAAAA